GAATTGACTAACGAGGAGTTGTTGGACTTGGAACAGGAACACATAGGTGAAGAAGAGGCAAGAGAAAAAGAAACTGTAGGAGAAGAAAAAGAAACCCCCCAAGAAAATTCACAGTGAAGGGTTTAGCATAAGCTTTTGCAGACCTCAACAAGCTCCTTAAAAAGTTTGAAAACATGGACCTCAACACTGAAAGGTTTTCATTAATAGAGAGGAATGTTCATGATGCATTATCTGCTTACAAGCAAATCAATGATTAAAAAAACAAAGTAAGCAAACCACCATGGACATGCTTCTGAAAAGAGTGACACCTCGTCAAGTAAGGCCTCAGGAGGTATTCCAGAAGAAGGCGTTGTTATCATAGGAGATGACAGCTTCATGTATGTTATTGCCTCTGAAGACCTTTCAGTGGGATAAGATGTGAAGGTGGAAGACAGTGATATTGATGATTCTGATGATTCTGATGCTGTGCAGGCCTAGGCTAATGTGTATGTTTGTGTCTTAGGTTTTAACAAAAAGTGTAAAAAGTAAAAAAATATATAGAAAATAGCATAGAATAAGCATATAAAGAAAGAAAATATTTTTGTACAGCTATACCGTGTGTTTATGTTTCAAGCCAAGTGTTATTACAAAAGAGTCAAAGTTTAAAAAATGAAAAAGTTTATAGACTAAAGTTACTGTAAGCTAAGGTTAATTTATTACTGAGGAAATAAGAACATTTTTATACAACTTTGTGTAGCCTAAGTGACCGTGTGTTCAGTGATGTTCAGTAGTGTTCAGTGATGTCCTAGGCCTTCACCTTCACTCAGCACTCACTCACTGACTCACCCAGAGCAACTCCCAGTGCTGCAAGCTCCATTTGTGGTAAGTTCCCTATACAGGTGTACTATTTCTTATATTTTATACCATATTTTTACTGTACCTTTTCTATGTTTAGATACACAAATACCATTGTGTTCTAATTGCCTACAGTATTCAGTACAGTAACATGACGTATAGGTTGGTAGCCAGGGAGCAATAGGCTATACCATATAGCCTTGGTGTGTAGTAGGCTATACCATCTAGGTTTGTGTTAAGTACACCGTATGATTGCACAATGATGAAACCGTCTAACAACACATTTCTCAGAACGTATCCCCGTCATTAAGCGACACGTGACTGTATTTAGGCGTGTTTAATTAGTTTGATTTCCACATTATTTGTGAACTTCTCAAATTTCATTCTGTTATTGATTTCTAATTTCATTCTTTTGTAGCGAAAGGACATATGTTCCATGATGTCAGTCTTTCTAAGTTTGTTGAGGTTTGTTTGATGCCGTGGCGTATGGCCTATCCTGGAGAATGTTCCATGTGTTCTTGAGAATAATGTGTATTTTGCTGTTGTTGGGTGAATGTTCTATAGTTGTCTGTTAGGTCTAATTAGTTTATAGTGTTGTTCAAGTCTTTCTTTGTTAACCTTCTTCCTTCTATCTATTTCATAATTATAAAACGTCCTTTGTCTCTAATAGTTTTTGTCTTAATGTCTATTTTGTCAGATATTATTATGGTTACTCTAGCTCTTTTTGGGGTATTTGTTTGCATAGTGTATCTGCATTCTTTTATCTCAACTTAATTGCGTATCTAAATCTAAATCATATCTCTTGTGGACATCATATAGTTGAATCATTTTTTAAAAATCTATTTTGCTCATCCTATTTTAATTCCCTTGATGTTTCCTTTACTGTATTACTTTTAGTTATTTTTTTAAGTGATTGCCCTGGGAATTACAAAAAAAAAAACTTTGTAACTTAAAACATTTTCCTTTAGATTGATGCCATTTTATTTTATTTTTTTTATTTTTTTTTAATTTTATTTATTTTTCCTCCAAAGCCCCAGTAGATAGTTGTATGTCATAGTTGCACATCCTTCCAGTTGCTGTACGTGGGACGCAGCCAGACAAGCGGTGCGTCAGCGCGCGCCCCCGGATCCAAACCCGGGCCGCCAGCAGCGGAGCGCGCGCACTTAACCGCCAAGCCACGGGGCCGGCCCAGATTGATGCCATTTTAATTTCAATAGTATACAAAAACTTTGCTCCAATATAACTCTGTTCCCTTCCCCTCCTTTGTACTATTATTATACAAACTACATTTTTATACATTATAAGCTTGTCCCAACAGAGTGTTATAATTACTACTTTATGCAGTTGTCTTTTAAATTAGATATGAAAAGAATTAAAAAGAAAATTACATTTCCTATGTGTATACTTTTACTGCTACTTTTTATTTCTTCATGTGGATTTGAGTTACTATCTTGCATCCTTTCATTTCAGCCTGAAGGACTCCAATTAGTATTTCTTTTGGGCTGGTCTGCTAGTGATGAATTCTTTTTGTTTTTGTTTATCTGGGAATTTCTTAATTTCTCATTGTTTTTGAGTGATAATTTTGCTGATTATAGAATTCTTGGTTGAAAGTCTTTTTCTTTTTGAGCATTGAATATGTTATCCACTACCTTTATGTCTCCATTGTTTCTGATTTGAGGCTGTTCATAATTTTTGTGTGTGTGTGAAGGAGATCAGCCCTGAGCTAACATCCATGCTAATCCTCCTCTTTTTGCTGAGAAAGACCAGCTCTGAGCTAACATCTATTGCCAATCCTCCTCCTTTATTTTTTCTTCCCTGAAGCCCCAGTAGATAGTTGTATGTCGTAGTTGCACATCCTTCTAGTTGCTGTATGTGGGACGTGGCCTCAGCATGGCTGGAGAAGCGGTGCGTCAGTGCGGGCCCAGGATCTGAACCCGGGCCGCCAGTAGCGGAGTGCGCGCACTTAACCGCTAAGGCACCGGGCTGGCCCGAGGCTGTTCATAATTTTTATGAACCCTTGTATAATCACTTTTCTCTTGCCATTTTCAAGGTTCTTTCTTAGTCTTTGTCTTTCAACAGTTTAACTATAAAGTATCTAGATGTGGATTTTTTTGAGTTTATCATCTTTTAAAGTCATTGAGCTTCCTGAATGTGGAGATTAATTTTTTTAAAATTTTAATTATTTTTTAGAACAGTTTTCAGTTTACAGAAAAATTATTCAGAAAGTACAGAGTTCCCATATACTCCCTCACACTGTTTCCCCTGTTGATTACTTGCACTAGTATGGTACGTTTGTTACAATTGATGAAATGATATTGATACATTATTATTAATTATAATTAGGAAAGGTCAGTCTCTGTTGTACAGTTCTATGGGTTTTAACAGATGCATAATATAAAGTAACCACCATTACAGTATTTTACAGAATAGTTTCACTGCCCTAAAAATGCCCTGTTCTCTACCTATTCATCTGTTCCTTCCTTACCCCAAGTCCCTGGCAAACACTGATCTTTTTATTCTCTATAGTTTTGCCTTTTCCAAAATATCATATAATTGGAATCATACAGTATATAGCCTTTTCAAATTGGCTTCTTTCACTTAGCAGTGTGTGTTTAAGTTTCCTCCATGTCTTTTCATGGCTTCGTGGCTCATTTCTTTTTGTCACTGAGTAATATTCCATGTTATGGATGTACCACAGTTTGTTTATCCATTCACCTATTGAAGGATGTCTTGATTGCTTCCAATTTTTGGCGCTTATGAATAAAGCTGCTGTAAACATTCATATGCAGGTTTTTGTGTAGACGTACATTTTCAATTTGGGTAAATACCTAGGAGCGTGATTGCTGGGTTGAATGGTTAGCTTATATTTAACTTTGTAAGAAACTGCCAAACTGTCTGCCAAAGTGGTTGTGTCATTTTGCATACTTGGAGCTCATTGAGCCTGTTGGATATGCAGATTAATTTTTTAAAATCAGATTTGGGAAGTTTTCAACAATTATTAAATATTTTTTCTATCCCTCATGCTCACACATGCAGCCCCGTCCTTCTCTCTCTCACCCTCTCCCCCGCCCCGCTTTTCCTTCTGCAACTCCTATTATGCATTTGTTGATATGCTTAATGGTATCTCACAGATCTCTGAGTCTCTGTTCGTTTTTCTTAATTCTTTTTTCTTTGTTTTCCTAATATTGGATGCAGTACTCTGACTTGACCTGTCCTCAATTCCTCTGATGCTTTCTGTCAGTTCAAACCTGCTGTTGAACCCCTCCAGTCAATTTTTCAATTCAGTTATTGTACTTTCAATTCTGGATTTCTATTGGTTCTTTTTTATAGTGCTTGAGTTCTTTGAACATATTTATAATAGCTGACTTAAAGTTTTTGTTTAGTTAAGTGCAACACCTGGGCTTCCTCAGGGACCATTTTTATTGACTGCTTTTTTCCTGAGTATGGGCCAGACGTTCGAATTTCTTTACATGCTTTGTAGTTTTTTTTGTTGAAAGTGGACATTTTATAATGTGTTAACTCTGGAGATGAGACCTCTGCCCCTGCCTAGCCCAGGGTTTGTTGTTACTATTTGTGAAGTGACTTTCCTGGGTTAATTTTCTAAAGTCTATATTCTTTGTCGTGTGAAGCTACATAAGTCTCTGTTCTGTCAGCTTAGAGGTGACTTAATGATTAGACAGAGATTTCCTCAAATGCCTTGAACCAATAAGGGGCAGAAATTGCTGAAGGCCATAATTTTGTTTAAAGAGCTGATGTTTTCATGGTTGAGATGCTTCAGTATTTTAGGAGAACCTCCCAATGTTTGCTTTCCTAAGAGAGCTTTGAAGTAGGGTGGTGGACAGGAAAGTTGGAAGGAGATGAGCAGCTAATTCAACTGCAGGATTGTCTTTAATAAGCCAGTGAGCACTGGGAATCTTCACATTGGGGACGGGATGTATTGGATTTTCCAATCATATTGGATCGTTAAATTGTTCCTTGGCACACGCTTTGGACATGCTACTAGAGCTTTCTTTGAAAAAGCTTGACCTTAATTGCAGGATGTTTTCCAACCTTTAGCAATCCACAAACAGCGTTAGAAAAATAAGTAAGACTGGAGAGGAGGAAACGTTAAAAGAGAGAGATCAACCAGCCATAATTTTCAGGAAAAAAATGAATATGAATATGTAGGATTAGTTCACCAGCATGCTTTCTGAGTGTGTGTATACTTACATGTGCATATACGTCCCTTCATGCATTTCCCTTTTCATTTCACAGATTTTTTAAAAAGCCTCATGGGACGTAACATCATTGCTAGATCCCTGGTACATTTAAGAAACCTGACTGCATGAGAGGCACTCTACCTGGGCACAGGATGTTACCTGGCATCAGAGAACTCAATGATCCAGACTTTCCTTAATTCTAAATGGTAAAAAGTCTCATACTTTTCACAACATTATTCTATACTAATAATGGTCAATTATTTATTTTTATTTATATTATTATTCACAATTTGTTTCCTAACTAAATATTTAAAAGTTTTAGTGCTAATTCTGGTGTTAAAAACTAGTGTCAAATCTTTACAAATCTGGTATGGAGACAGTTGATGGTATTTGACTTTCTTTGTTAGATAGTAGTACTTTTTATAGAACCAATTGCCGAGTTATAAAAGTGATTTTTGAAAACAAAACAATATTTGTAAACATTTTTTTTTTGTGAGGAAGATTAGCCCTGGACTAACATCCGTGCCCGTCTTCCTCTACTTTATATGGGACGCCGCCACAGCGTGGCTTGACAAGTAGTGCGTCGGTGTGCGCCCGGGATCTGAACCTGTGAACCCCGGGCCGCCGAAGTGGAGCACGGGAACTTAATTGCCACGCCACTGGTCCGGCCCCTGAATATTTGTAAACATTTTATATAGTATAAGTGGGCTGAGTTCCTGGAATTTGAATATAGAGAAGAGGTCTGTCATCAATTATAGTTTGTGTTCAACTGTGTTTTTCCGCAAGGCTTAATTATCATAACCTGTTATAACCAATGCAGGAAATGCAAGGCTGTGTCTCTATTTTGGATTGTGTGTGTCTTCTCTTCCTGTGGTGCCTGGAATGGAACTGAACTAAGTGAGGCCAACCCAGTACAGACCCAAATCTGGCCTGGTTTCAGTTGAGCCTTTCTGGTCCAGTTTGAAAATTCAGTTGGCCTGCTTTTCCTTCAAAGATTTGTAGAAGTCACAGCCATTTCTGAACTTCTCCTTAAGTACACCCCTAATCCCAGATTGACGAAGGGCAGAATGGATCGATCTCTTTAAATATTCGGGGCTGCTGTTGCTAACTGATGGACATTAATGGATGTGTCAGGAAGAATCCAGATTGCTGTCATGATTTCAAGGCAAGGGATTCTAATTAGAACTAGCACGGGATCAAAAACTGACCAACTGTGGAGAGCTCAGTAATTATAGCCTAGGTCTTCAGCTGTGTTTGCACCTCAATATACCTAAGAGGTAAAATGCTTATTGTAGGATATTCTAGCACATCCTTCTACTTGACTTTTTTTTTTTTTTTTTTAACAGTCTGGCATTAATACTAGAAACTGTGGGTTACCTATAATATTACCCCTTTTCCTCTGATTGACCCACTTTATTTTTATTTTAAACATCTGACCTCATAGCAAAGGGGACAGTTTTTGAGCCTGAGAAGATATCGTGAAGGACTGTATTTATGGATATCCTTTCTATTTCTCTTTTAGTGCTATTCTTCATTTCAAGATGCCTTTGCACTTCTGATAAATGCAAACTGACAACTCTCAAGGCCACATCAGAGAAAAACATTACTGCTTGAAGCCTGGAAGACTGCCCTTAATGAAGGAAAGTCCTCGATTGTTGTTTGAGATGCTGAGGAAGTTGCTGCGGAGGAGACTTTTTTCTTATCCCACGAAATACTACTTCTTGCTGCTTGTTTTTTCCCTAGTCACCTTCTCTGTTTTAAGAATTCATCAAAAGCCTGAATTTGTCAGCATTGGACCTTTGGAGCTGGTTGGAGAGAATCCTAGTAGTGATATTAATTGTACCAAAGTTTTACAGGGTGATGTAGATGAAATCCAAAAGGTAAAGCTTGAGATTCTAACAGTGAAGTTTAGAAAGCGCCCACGATGGACAGCCTCTGACTATATAAACATGACCAGCGATTGTACTTCTTTCATCAAGAGGCGCAAATATCTTGTAGAACCCCTCAGTAAAGAAGAGGCGGAGTTTCCAATAGCGTATTCTATAGTGGTTCATCACAAAATTGAAATGCTTGATAGGCTCCTGAGGGCCATCTATATGCCTCAGAATTTCTACTGCATTCACGTGGACAAAAAATCAGAGGATTCCTTTTTGGCGGCGGTGATTGGCATTGCCTCCTGTTTCAGTAACGTCTTTGTGGCCAGTCAGCTGGAGAGTGTGGTGTACGCATCATGGAGTCGGGTTCAGGCTGACCTCAACTGCATGCAGGACCTCTACAGCATGAGTGCAGACTGGAAGTACTTGATCAATCTTTGCGGTATGGATTTTCCCATTAAAACCAACCTGGAAATTGTCAGGAAGCTCAAGTCGTTAATGGGAGAAAACAACCTAGAAACTGAGAGAATGCCATCCAATAAAAAAGAAAGGTGGAAAAAGCATTATACAGTCGTTAATGGAAAGCTGACAAACACAGGGACTGACAAAATGCACCCTCCTCTTGAAACACCTCTGTTTTCGGGCAGTGCCTATTTTGTGGTCAGTAGGGAATATGTGGAGTATGTGCTAGAGAATGAAAAAATCCAAAAGTTTATGGAGTGGGCCAAAGACACGTACAGCCCAGATGAGTATCTCTGGGCCACTCTTCAGAGGATCCCTGAAGTCCCAGGCTCACTGTCCTTAAGCTATAAGTATGACATGTCTGACATGCATGCAATTGCTAGGTTTGTCAAGTGGCAGTACTTTGAAGGTGACGTTTCCAAGGGCGCCCCCTACCCCCCCTGCAGCGGGGTCCACGTGCGCTCCGTGTGCGTTTTTGGAGCAGGTGACTTGAACTGGATGCTGCGCATGCACCACCTGTTTGCCAATAAGTTTGACATGGACATTGACCTCTTTGCCATCCAGTGTTTGGATGAGCATCTGAGGCATAAAGCCCTGGAGACGTTAAAACACTGACCGTTGGTTGTAGACAATTTTAGAAACATCCAGAAGGGTGCATGAGAGGTACCCCATCTGATTCTTCTGCCCTGTTAATAAACATCAGAAAACTGTTGGGGGGCAGGGACTCTAACTCTTCATGTTAGAGAAGCTACATGGTTTTTGCAGAGCACCATCGGTTAGAAAGGTTATAGCATTCAACGTTGACCTAGAGTTATTGTGAAGCCAGGGCAGGTTGCAAGGCATTGTGGGGAGAGGTGGCCAGGGAAGAGGCCGAATATAAAAACTAGCCTGTTAAAAGAGCTCAGGGACTTAACAAAACCATAAGATTTGACATGTGCCAAAATTACTTTGTGAGCTTTAAATATGGCAGGTTTCCTGATTTGAATACATTTATAGCAACAACCAATTGTAAGGATTTAATTTGTCTTATAGGTTATATTTGTTGAAATAGAAATTTGACTTTAAATGATCCTTGAAAATACTTTCTGCTGTAATATTGTGCTATGTAGTGTATCTGTGTATGTCATCTCAGGGAACTTGAAAAAATGGGCTTGACTGAACATGAATATTTCTGACTAATTTTTGCTTTTAACAATGTACATGTTTTTAGAAACAAAAAAAATGGCAATTTCTGGTTTAGTTGATTCTATGAATCATTGTAGGTTATTAGAAAAGTTGATATCCTTATTATTATAGTTTCTACAGAGTAGCACTCAATTTTTCCAAATATTTGTCTCTCTACTCCTCCCCCCAGTCTCCCCAGACCCTGCTATCAAGCTGTATAAAAGCTTGTTTTCATAGTGCCCCGTGTTACTGCTTCAGTTCTCTTGTAAGATCTAATTGACAGTAATTAGTTTAGAGAGCTAAGACAGAAAGGGTGAAATTGATATGGGAGGCAGGAGGAGAAGGAGTCGTAGTTAGACAATTTCTGAGCGCTATAATGAGGGTTAAAACCCAGCAGTCAGCACTATCCCCAGAAATTAAGACTGTGCTCCCTGGATCCACTTGTGTCCAACCTCCCGGGGTCTTGCATCCTAATGTCACCTTTGTGTCTCCATTTGAAAAGAACTGGCTTCTGTTCTCCTTGCTTCTTCGTGTTACCTGCCCATTGGTTGTTCCTTAGTCCTTGTAAGTTTCCTTCTCTCTTAGAACCTATGAGGAGGGAGGAGGTGTGCTGTTGTTCCACATGGCGTACTTGAAGGCCTGGGAAGCCAAAAGGGAATATTAGGTTTGGGGCATATTGTTTCAGTATTGGTGTTATTCATAGCATATGGTTTTTACTGTACTTTTTCACCAAAAGACAGATGATTTGAGGTTGCTATTGTGCTGTCTCATATCTTAAAGTAAATGAAAATTTTTAAAAAAACTTTCTTTTTTGCTAAACTGACACCGTTCAGCCAATGATGTAACAGGAAATGTGAAGCTTTATCGTTTAGCTGAGACTTTAAACAAGAATCAAAACCATGTGCTTTATTTTTACAACAGCCAAATTAAATGGTACATGAGAAATTCATAATATCAGACAGTTTTCAGGCATTCAACTGAGAAAACATTTTTTATTCTTCAAAGTTAGAAAACATTTTTATTTTAGGAGAGCTTTGTTATACTGATCCTCCCGAATGAAAGTTTCACATTTTCTAAACCTTTATTATCATTTCTAAATGTGCTAAGTCAGTGGATTCCTGTGTTTTGCATGATTTAATATGGCAGCCCATGTTGGACCAAGAAAAACATACTCACTTTGAAAACTCAAGAGATGATGTCAATGAGGGCATTATATGCGTTGTGTTCCATCTCTATGCTACCTAAAACCTGTTTGTTCTTTGAATGCATGTCAAATATTTCTCCCATACTGTCTTTTAGCAGAAAGATTTTACCTTTAAGATAGGGCATTTTTTAAACTCTAAAACCAGTGATATTCAGTGACACATACTTTGTGTCTCTGTCTTGTATTTTTACTTCATTCATGGTCTCTTGTTCTATGGATATGTTTTCATATTTATTTTGAAATTTGCAAATCTACAGGAAAGTTAAAAACAACAGTACAGTGAACACCATATAACCCTCACTTGGAGTCACTGGTTGTTAACATCATGCCCATTTGCTTTAAATTATGGATTTTGAATTTAGCAAAATTGAAAACTAAAAATTAAAAAAAATTTATACATATCTAAAGTTCACATCATTCATCTCAGCACTCTTATTGTAGTGTGACTGCATCTGATTTACATTTAATTTGGCAGGTTTTGAGGGATTTTTCTCCACCATAGATATAAAAATAGGACTTTAGAGTCTATTTCCTCAAACCTCACGCTGAAACTGTGGACCCAGCATCTTTTATGTAGCTGTGGTCCCTCTTCTTTCTAGAATGGCACTTGTTGAGATGTGTCCGAGCATTACCCTATTGCTAATGCCTGTTATAGGGATTATCTAAAATTTGTTTATTGAGACTCATTTTTATACTGTACAGCATACCTTAAAGCAAATGAAATTCATACTACTGGGCCAAACAATTTGAAGAGTCAAAAAGATGGTTTCAAAAGGCAGTCCATAGTACATTCAGGAGGAACAAAACACAAGTTCTTTAGGAAAGTTACAGAAATTATTTGAATTGCTTCATATATGTAAGTTACCAAACACTAATTTCTTTGTACTGTCATTTAAGGTCTTTTGTAGGGAATTATTGGAAATCATTCAAATAAACCTTTAAATGTACATAAACTGCAATTTTGTGTGGAAGGATTATTCTAGCTAATGAAGTACTGCATCAAGATTCACATATTACTCATTTAGGACAAGAGTTGAAAACGGTTCTTTCTTTTTTAGGCAATTAGCTAGGCTCTTCCCAGACCATGGTAAACAGCTGCTCAGCCTTGCAAATGTGAAGCCTTATTGTCTCTAAACACGTATTTGTCTTGTTGGGGGAGAGGGAGAATCCCCCTCCGCCCTTTCCCTTAAGGTTCTTATGGCTGGCCAAATGATTAAAAGACGGGTTAGCAGGAGAAAATAATGCCAAGTTTAATGGCATGCATACATGGAAGAAACCAGGGAAACTGAGTTTCTCAACAAAATATTGGAGGTTCTCATCATAAATACTATCTTCAGCTAAAGACAAAGGAAGATGTTGGGGGTCAGTTATAGGAGATTACCAGAAAAGCACAGTAAACAAGAGTAGGTTATTATGCAGATTTAAGGCCTCGCCTTCCACATTGATAAGTTTCCAGAGATGAGGTCATCCCCCCCTTCCCAGTACAGAGAGGGAGATATTTTACAAATGGAGATTTCCCTTATAAATGTAAATGTTTGTGTCACAACCCTTTACAGGGCTACCTAGAGAATGTGGCCTGAGATAGAATTTTTGATAAGATGGTGCCTTTCCTAGTGTAGCATCTATTTTACATTATATTACAGCCATCATATTATAGTGGCTCCTTCCTGAAACAGGCCTTCTATATTAAATTCTTTAGTCAGTTTGGGAGAGGTCAAATGTCCGTCAGAGAAAATAAGGTAAAGAGACATATTTTGGGTGGTCAATTTTGATCTCCCACAGTATCATTCATCAAGTACAATTCACTTAAATGAAATAACATAAGTGGATTTTCTTTTGTAGTTATTTGGGGTGAGGGGGAAGCCATGTTTGGTTCATCTCATCTGTAGGATCACTTGAACTCGACTTTTTCAGTTGGCTTAGAGAAATAAAAATCACTTCATATTATGTTAAATAGAAAATAAATTCAATACTGTTAAGTGGCAAACATGGTTACAGTCGGTTTTCTTCTTTTTAATCTGGGCATGACCGTTCAGAAACCAATGCCTTGTCTCCACAAGTTATTCTTTTTTCCTTAGCTACCAGCACTCAAATATTCAATTTAGTAGTTGATGTGGTACGTTGTAACCAACAAGTGATACCTAACCTCTTAATCTCAAGTTCATGTGCCCAAGGCGCAGCAAGCCAAACACTGAGGCGTCGGTGCTTGGAGATGGAGAAAGATTTATTCAAATTGGCCAAAACGAGTAGGTGGAAGCTTAGGTTCGCTCAAATCTGCCTCCCCAAGAACAGAAAACGGGAGTTTTATAGAGCTAAGGGGCTTGGCAGGAGGACCTTCTGGGAAACAAAGGGGTCACTCCCAATAAGCCCCTGGGCAATCTGACTTCTGGCTTTAGCGGCTGCAGAGGGCCCACCATCTGGTGATCACAACCTCCCCAAAGGCATTCTCTTTCTTCTGCGAAACAAGCTCACAAATCCTCCAGACCCTAGTCACCCCTCAAGTTCACCCCTCCAGTTACACAGGAAAACAGCAAATTGGTTTAATATCTACAGTAACCTTCAGGTACTTGGCTTCACAAGTGTTTTGTGTGAGTAGCGATTAAAAACAAGATTAATTCTCCAGGCAGAAATGTTTGAGAGGAAAAGGGTGTGGCAAAGGCAGAAAATTTAACAGATCATGCAGAAAGATTTAGACAGGGGACTTGAGAAGAATGCAATTTAATAGCCAGTATTGCCTTCTAGGGCATTACTAGCTTCAGCTTGTGTCTGCTGAGGGAGGGGAGCAGTTTTCCAGTCATTTCCGGCCCAGTGGCCACAAATACAAACAGGATCGGTTACTTGCTGTGGTTTGCACGTGGAGGGAGCAGCTGAGGGAAAAGGGAAACCTCTTCTCTCCAAATATTGATGTCACCTCCGAATGTCCTCTCACCTGATCTGTGTGCTCTTTAGCCCCATTTCAGATGAAACAGACTCTAAAACGTGGCAAAATTGATTAACTTCAGATCTTTCTCTAAAGCTTGAGAGCTTTACCTATCATTTTTAAGCCCATCGGAGATTTAATTTTTAGTATACGCTCTCTTACAGTTTGCAGGGCTTGTCATCAGAATATTGATTTAATATTTTTTGGTGCAATAACACCCGAACTAAAACTGATTTATAACTGTTGGCAAAGAAAAGACTTTTCATTACTGCCAATGATATGATTGTCCAAGTAGACAGCTCAGGAATCTCATCTTAGAATTAATATGAAATTAGCAAACTACCTCCAGATATCCCCAGATTGAGTTTTTCCATATTCAAGCAAAAAAATACTTTTAAGATATAATGGGAATATGTGACCATACGTCATGGCAACAAGCTCTGTAAAATGTATAGACAAACTTAAGATGTGTGTGGGACCTACATAAAGAAAATTGAAGACCTGTATAGATGGAAAAATACATTGTGCTCCTAGCTGATAAAAATTTTAAACATATCCCTTCTCCCCAGATCAATCCATCAGTTAAATGTAAGTCCA